TGTGACAGCCCCTGTGTCCACCCAGGATAGAGGAGATGTAAGTGGTGAATTTGGGTACCAAACAGCTGAATCTGCCCTATTACACACACATCTGCTCCCCTGACAAAAACTTCCCTTTTATATCAGTTTCAGTGTGTACACGTTCAGAAGGATTGATGTCACATCATCTAGGCGAAGGTGTGAATGTGCAAGCAAGCCCAGGAGGATGGAGGCTCTGCAGTCAGCTCATGCAGGTTCATGGCCAGGAGTTGCCCAGCACTGCTGGGTTCTCCTTGGTTCAGCAAAAGCTGATGTGTCATTTCATTCAAGGGAATAATCGGCTGCCTCTGGCTGCGATCTGTGCACATGCAGGCTTCTTCTTATGGTATACTAATTTTGGTTAAGCAGTGAGATGGGTTTTCTGTAGGCTCAGGCTGATGGGGAATTGTGCTGTTTCCCCATTGCTCCGTAGATGAGAGCCTGTTGCATGTACATTATACTTTGTCTTAACTTGTGGTCTATCCCCAGGCTGAAGCAGCTTTCCCTCTGTGACTCAAACTGCACAGAGGATTACTGGTGCCTTGCAAAGAGCCACATATTCTGGGGAATGAGAAACACGAGCCATGGGCTTGCCATAGCAGCATAATACATAGCAGCAAAGCCACATAAACATTTAGTGGCACACAACTGGGGATAAGAACTATTGTCACAGTAGGGCAGAACCAAGGCAGGATCCATGATGCAGGATGCCAAAAGCCAGGAGAAACAGCTCAGCTGTGGATACACAAAATGGTACTTGGCTAGCCAAGGCTGCTGGGAGGGATGGGTGCAGGACAGTGGCCCAGCTTTTTTTGGCCAGTGCGCACAGTTGTGCTCAAGTGTTGCTCAGTGGAATAGCTGGGGTATTACTTTTAAAACACTTTTCCTGGAAAGCAGCATTTTACAGCCCAGTGGGCATGAGCCATATCCTCACAGCAGGTTGTCACACAGCTGGTGTCTGGAAGAGGCTGTATAATCATTTTCTGTACAGGCTGATTTAGGGGACTTGTGGAGAGAAGAGCTTTATTTGATACTCCACATTGCTTCCTGGGACCAGTGTGAGGCTTAGGAACAGTGAACTTTGTCCAACTTTAGCATTTCAAAGCAACAAGCTTCTGACATTCTGTACCTCAGGAGCCAGGTGTGGCAGCTGGATCTTCTTCATCCCACTAGGGATGTAGATACAGACAACTGGCACCAAAATCAGGGCACTGTCTTACAAATGTAGCCATTCCTCTGTGGATGCAGTTATTCTGGGGTAGAGGAACTAGCTGTAACTTTTTCAGCTCTGTTATGTGCCTGCAGCAGTCAGAACAGGCCATCCATGCTGCTGAGGAGCAGCATAGATGTTCCCCAGGTCATACCCTGGAGTGAATATTGGTTTACACAGGGTGAATCATGAGCATCTCCTAGCGCTGCATAGCAGGGAGGCGCAAAAAGAGATCATGCAGTAGGGACCCCTGGGCTCTTGGCGAGTCACCAATAACAAATTTGTGGATATAGCTTAGGAGCTGTTTTATGAAGCTTTTGGTCATCTTTGTATGCTACATCTTGTATTTTTGACACCGGGAACTTTTTGTCAGTCCTTATGGTCCAGAGTTACTTCTTCTGGTCTGCCACTTCTCCTGTAACTGTGTTTCTTCTTCGGCTAGCCTGACCTCTTAACGTGTCTTACACCAACACCAAATCACAACATGGTTGGAATACTTGTGTGATAGTGTCATCTGTCACTGTTGAATAACAGCAACAAGGGAATGAGCAGTATTTCATATTGGGGCAGAATGAGAACAGACAAAACAAGAAGGGATACTGTAAACCTGTGAATACCTAGTAGGGAGGTGGGTATCAGCCCTGAGCCACCAGAGAGCTCCATGTAAAATACCATGTTCTGTTTGAAGATCACAGAATCACAGAATGGTTGAGGTTGGAAGGGATGTCTGGAGATCATCTGGTCCAAAATCTCTTGGTGAGAGCCAGGACACAACTTACTCCTAGTCTGCCTAAGGCTTGGAGGGTTTCATTGGATTTGGTTGGATACAGATAATTTAATAAATTATACATTCAGTGTAATCCCACAAATACAGAGATAGTGGCTCTATTAAACTAATTTTAAAAGACTCTAAGTAACTTAGTAGTCATAGCAGTTGAGAAAATGCCCTGAATTATGCACAGTATAGAAACTGAAAACTTGGAAATATTGCCTTGTCATTGTATTCAAGATGTTTTCTGTACTGCATTTCAGCACAGAATAAAATAGCAGTGGAAGAAGAAAAGAAGTGGGAAGAGAAATGCAATAGAATTTGTAACAAAAGCCCAGCTTAAAGCCATGTCAATCACATACCCGAGCAAAAAAGATCTTGTCACTTGCATTAAGTGCTTCCTTTTCCAACACCACAGCATAGCCCCATCTCACATTCCGGCTCTGAGACACAGGTGCAAAGGAGATGAGTGGTTTGATGCAATTTATCCTTGCAGCCAAGAAATAATGTTCCCTTCCCGGAGGTACAGGCAAGTCCAGTCATGGATCATGTGCCTGGCTTTCCTGAAGCCACAGCCTCCACTTGTGTTGGTACACAGTTTCCCCGTACCAGCCTTGACTTGTTCTCCAGGTGGCAAGTGTCCAAACAGAGGGCCCAGTCTCACCCTCTGGTTACCTCAGTTTTTCCTGGGAGACTTCTCCCAAGTATTTCCAGTGCCACACCATCCCAGCAGGATGTGCTGCCCAGCCCTGGGTTGCGCAGGTACCTCTGTCTCAGCAAGTGGTGTCCCTCATGGGGCACTCATTTTGGTCAGAGCTGTGACAAGGGCTCCACTGAGCTGCAGCATTCAGCAATAGGCAAGGGCATGTTTCGAAAAAACCTCATTTGAAGTATACTGGTAGAAAAAGTGTAAAGAAATAAAGTGTTAATGAGCTTGTAGCTCTTCTAGATAGATGGTTATTCTTATACAAGGACTCTTGTCACCCAAGGTTATGGGTGAGTAACTGAGACAGGAATCTGACCCCTTATGCCTAAAAAATTCCTTAATTATTATTATTAGGACAGAAATAATACAAACCATTATTTTAAAATAACGCTGTCTGGGCTTGGAAAGTTCACATTCAAATAGTATGAAATGGTGATTTTAAGTTTACCAAGCAAACAAGTGCATATCTTATAGCCAGAAAGGAAAGGTTCCTGGGGAAAATGACAAGTGTAATTAAAACCTGTCTCATCAATGCATGCACACAGGGGAGGGCAAGCTGTGATTGTAATGGCAACTGCTCCTAGCAGGTGTTTTTCTTTTAATATGAGGTATTAAATAAAACTTCTTGAGTTTATTAACCCAAATAATCTCCTGTATGCTTCTGACAGTGCCTCTGTGATGTGTTGCAAACAAGGCTGAACTTTTGCCTTTAGAGGTACAAAACTACCTGCCTTAGCTGGGACTGTTACAGGGACCTGGAGCGCTGTTGACGCTGCAGATTCTTTCACACTTCATAGCTCTGGAGGTTGATAGTTTTCCGTGCTGAAGATCTCAGGCTCACTGTGGTGTGGTGGGGTACTCCACAACTGGTGGGGGTGAGGAGGAAACCCTGCCAGAAGCACTGTCATCTGTTGCCTGCAACTGTGAGAAGATGAATCTGAACAACTGCATTTTTAATTAAAAAAGAGTCAGAAGGAGAGGAGGAAGACTTGGAGTTGGGCACTGGCTTTGGGTAGTCAGGGGCTGATGTGTCACTTCAGAAGGGCAAGGTGCTGGGGCTGAAGGAGGGGGGAGCTTGGTTCCACTCTTCCTCCTGCAATACTTCATATTTCCCAGGCACCCCTAGTCCTGTGAAACTACATGGGCTTTTATAACTTTATTTCATTTGTTATTTGCTGCCAGAATTCTCCCAAGGAATGTAGACAAGAAGTAGTAAATGGTGATTAATTTAGACAACATAAGTAGAGGACTCGTGATGGGCTCCCCATGTAATACAAGAAAGTCAACGGCTTGCTGATGTCCTTTTGTGAGTGAATTGTGAAGCCTGGTTGTTTAATGGAGTGTTTAAAAACTGTGTTGGCAATAGCCTATGAATAATGTATACAGGAATAATGAAATACCTTACTGCTAAGAAACTGCTGATATGCTGGGGAAATTTCCATCAGATGTGAGAACAATTTTGAAAGCACTGTCTTCTTGGGATGCCTTTTATTTATGGTCTTGCTGCTTCAGAGATTGCATTCCCTCTTTTAGATACTGCATGTGAAGATGCCCTCCACTGCCTCTGCCTCCGTCTTCCAGCTTCACCTGACTCCCTTTGCTTGTGTCTGTAACAGTTCCTGAATTCTGATGAATTTAGGCTTTATTAACTGAGCACCATGAGCACAGAGATATTTGCTGCGCAGTCTTCAACCTGCCCCAAGGCACACTGCATCAAAGGAAGATGGATGCTGGTTTTGTGTCATGGCAATGTCCCATGATGCAGGAAGCAGAAGTACGGCCAAGTGATTTGGAAAAAAAGACCAATATTTCTTTTGCAGCTTTTTGGAGCATGGGATCCTTGCGTGACATAAGGAACCTCAGAGTGTCACACATGGATGTTCAGATTATGGTGGACTTTGCAGTGTGAAGCCAGCTCTGATGCCTCAGAATTTTTCCCCATGTCCTCCTCCAGTGCATGAAGCTTCTGAGTGCTTTGGCCATGAGTAGTGGGAAGTTGTTGTGATATTAAGCAACTAAATTTTGCTTGACCAGAGAAGACTGAGAGTGAACCCCTGCTTGTAGGGGAGCTCTGGAGGTTGCATAGCCTTAGTTGCAGGAGGAACAGGCATTCTAGAAGACCTCAGGACATAGCTCAGGCAGGGACGTGAGACAATCACAGTCTCTTCCTTTTCTTCTTGTTTTAGCCCACAGCTGCACTCCAGGAGAAAATAAAATTGTAGCTTTGTTTCTCATACAGGGTTTACCCCACCAGCACTAAAATGCAGAAGTATCACAGGAGTACAGGTGAACATAATATGTATCTCATCACTGTCCAGGTTGGTCTGAGCTAAGTGTGTGTTAAGAGAAGACTCAGCTTGTGGAGTCTGTAGCTCTGCGCCCTTCCCCTGCTGTGGCTTTGTTATGAGGAGCCTAGTGCACACGCTTTGGTGTGTCTGGATTTATACAGTAGAGCCGAGTCAAAACATTTCCTTCAATATAGGCAGTATATTCTTAGCGTAATGCTAGAACAAAGCAACACCTGATTGATGTTGATATTAGTCAGCTGAGGAAGTGACATCCTCGCCTGGGAGACTGATCTGATGGGTTTTGAAGTCATGTGGTGATGCCAGCAGCAAGCTCCAGGCATGAGGCTACAGGACAGGAGCGGAAATGGGTTAGAAGAGAGGTTGTATCCTTAGGTGACCTGCAACTGGCCAAGCAAGAGGATTTGCCAAAATGCAAGGGAAGATTTGCACTTTTATTGGCTTGTTTGCTGCTGGGCTATTCCTAGTGAGTGCAGTATTTCTGCAGCTACAGGAAGGGAGGTGTATAAAAGGGGTTAGTCTAAACATATGATACGTGGTAAGGACCACCAGAGGAGTTTGACTGATGGTCTAAATGTTTTCAGTAGAACAAATAAAGAGAAAAGGTATCTAAAACTTCCCCCATCTCCACCACCCAAACCCCATCTTACCAGCCAAGAAGTGTTTTCAGCAGAGTGGATCACAAAGGTCTAGGCTGAGGATCATGGTCAAGTTCAACTAGCCTTTCTCAGGGTACAAAATGCTGCTATATCTGACAGTATACATGAAAGAGCAGCTTTCAAAAGGAAGGAGACAGTTCTGTTATGCAGTTTATTCCACTGATGCTTCTGATGATCCTATTAATTTATCTTTTTTTAATGTTTGTTTCTTTTAGGTGAAGAGTGAAGGCCCCAAACTGGTGCCCTTCTTTAAAGCCACTTGTGTCTATTTTGTCCTCTGGCTGCCAACTTCCAGCCCCTCCTGGTTCAGTGCCCTCATCAAATGTCTGCCCATCTTCTGCCTATGGGTTTTCCTTCTGGCCCATGGAATTAACTTCTTAGTGTCACACCGGAGCGCCAGCCGCATCCTAGCGGGACTCATATTCTCGGCAGTGGGAGATGCCTTTCTCATCTGGCAGGAGCAGGGCTACTTCATTCATGGTGAGTGCAGTGTCAGTCCTAAAGGGATGCCACAGTGTCCAGCTGTTACACTCTTTATTGAGTAATGAGTTGCTGGGCCACATGTTTTGTTTATTCATGTACAGCGTCAGCCCTTGGGCAGTGGGAAGCACTCATCCCTTGACTAAAATCCATCATGGTTAGAGGAGTCACACTGTGGATGAGTCTTTCTCTTGAGCTTGTCTTTGAGGTTAGAGAGGTTATTGGGGCAGGTTTGGTTTGCTGGCACGTGCTTACAGCATCTCAGCTGGCTGGAGCTGGGAAGTTGGCATGGGCAGAAACCCTGGGGAAGAGAAGGAAATGATCATGGCACTCAGCAGCTCCCACAAAGCTATGGGAATTATCTATCCTACCTCTCTGTAGGCAGATCCATCAGCCTTTCACTACAAGGATCAGAAATAGGACACACGATGCAAAGGTCCTCGGTGGAGAACAGGTGGAGAGAACCTTTATGTTTTGATAGACAAGCCTGTAGCCTGGGGGAGGCTAGAAACCAAAGCATTAGAAATCGTGTCCTACTTGCAGGTTCATCAGTGTGAATCATGCAGCCTGTCGTACAAGTCATGTCTGTTTTGCAAGACAGATAAATGATGGGGAATCAAAGACAAACCTTACCACAGTAGCCTGTCTTCTCTACAGAAAGATCCACACCTCTTAGAGCAAAACAAGCTTGTTTTATTTTGCTAGTGTGCAGACTACAACATAATGATTTAATCATTTAAAGCCACGTTGAACCTGCCTGCAGCAACACCCTTCCTGGCCTTGGACTGTCACAAGAAATCAGCAGCAATTGAGTCCTTCACTAAACTGACTGGTGGGGTATCTGAAGTTAATTTAACCAGCACAGGGATTTTGCTTAACACCCACCATTAACTGGCTGCTGTGACAGTCCCACTGGAAAATGTGATGAGACGAGGGAACTTTTCTAACTTGTGCTGTTGTCAGCTCTGAAAGTCAAAGGCTTATTTTTTTTCCCCTCTCATGAGGTCAGTATCTAGTTTTATTCTGGGATTCCCACAAGCCCTCATGAGAGGGAAGTGTGTGCAAATGCCAGATATGAAAGGCCAAATGCTCTGAATCTGGTTTTAATCCTGCTTCCCAGGATCTTATCCCAATCTCATTAAAAGTTCATGTCAAAATTTTTACTGATTTTGGTGGGGTTTAGATTAGGCTCTGAGGACTGGATCTGTCTGGCTGAACCTTGGGCATGTTGCTGAGGAGCTCCAGCTTTCTCTCCCTCTGTGCTGAGCGTTGGCCTTCCCACTGATGGGCCTCCTCCTAACAGGGGTACCCAGCTCAGTGCAGGTTGCCTCAGCCCAACTGCTTGTGCTTCTGTTTTGCTTCCTCAAGTTGCTCCTTGAGCTGCGGCTTGGAAAACATTCAAGGCCTGATTCTCACCGTGACCGTTTTCATACATGGACTGTTCCAAATTCCGAGCTTTTCCATTCCCACGAAGCAGGGATATATCTGAGTTCCCTCTCCAAATTAACGCTAGAGGAAGGTCAACCAGTTGCAGGAGCTCAGTATCTGCCTAACATGTTTTAAACTGCAAATAAATTGGATTTTTGACCCTAGTCTCACAGCTGAGAATTGTTGCTTTGTGGATTTAGACACGTTTTTCTTCTTAAGGAGAAGAAAAGCTCTCTTGGAGCATTTTGAAAATCTCAGCCTTCATTCTGGCAGTCTCCTGCCTGCCTCAGTCCGTGCTAATCCAAGCTACCATCTTCTTTAGTGAAGTGTTAACATTTGTGTTTCAGCTGTTAACAGATAAAGTGCACCACCCCACTTCATCCTTCACCTCTCCTGCAAAACATATTTTCTCCTATTTAAAACTCAGCAGGCTGCTGTTGTTGACAGCTGACAATATTCAACCCTTTGACATCATTGTTTGCGGGAATTGGAAATTTCAGAATAGGAGGAAATACTAGATAAAAATGTACTTTCTGTTCAATTTCTACAGCTTTTGGGCTGAAAAAAAGGGTTTGGAACTGGGCTGATTTGAATAGCTTTTGAGTCAATGAGTTTATAAAAGGCCATTTTGTTCATTACTTTATAGGGAATTAGGAGCCTGGGAACCTACTCCTGGCACACTTGACTTTTTTCATTTTTACTGTTTCAGTTCACTAAGAACACACTATTTTCTGACTAGTGTCTTACTGCATGTAGAAGATCCTTTACAGTGTTAACATCCACTTCCTTTGATAGCAGGCAGTTAGAAACAATTTATGCATTTGGTGAAGAAGACAGGGACTAACAAAAAGGCCTTATTGCCAGCCTGAGGGGAAACTCCAGGGGCTGGGAGGGGGAAGGAAATCCGGGGGAAGGAAGCGGACAGGAAGGAGAAGGGCTGATCTGCTTGATGTGGTTGGGAGCACCAAGCCAAAGGCTGAGAAATACAAGAGAAATGCACCCCTCCTCCCTGTGCAGCCGTCACAGGTCTCCCCAGTTCCTGGCTTGATTTGTGGGTGTTGAGTGAGCAAACCTGGGAGCTGACTCCCTTGTTTATGACCAGCCTCACCACATATCATAAAGCTCCTCCTGCCTTTGTGGGCTTCTGCTTGGCTGCCGCATGCTGTCCTCCTCTCCTCCTCCTCCCCCTCGTTGCCAGCTGCCTGCATGAAGGACAACACATTCTTCAGCTCCCAGTCCAAGAACTCTCCATATAATGCCACTGAAGGAAAAATCACTCCTCACTGCTAGGGCAAAGTAATCTTCTCCTCCTTACTGCCCCCAGGGCTTGAACCTTTCCTGCACTATAACACTACAGACAGCTCTTGTCCTAAATCCCTCCTTGGTTTCCTCAGTGCTGTGCCCATGGTGTGTAATAGCTCTGTGAAACATCAATTTCTCATTGCCCTCCTTTGCACTTCTCTTCCTTCCCCTTCATTTTGTCTGGCCTTACCTTGCAGACCAGCCCCCTCCCTTCTGTGGGTTTCCCTCTCATCTCACCATGGCTGAGCTTTCAGTGGATGTTTGATCTTGTCCACCCCAAAAGGCAGGGAGACACTTCCCTTTCTTTGAGCTGTCTCAATACAAGAGTATTAGGATGAAGAAATGTCTGCCAGCAGCAGGTTTTAGTGACTGCCCTTTACACCACAGCATCATGCTTTAAATGTAAACAAGCGTCCTGCTGGAGGACTCAGCTTCCCAGATCCTTTTCTCCATTTCATGCTTCAAAGCTGCATGAAAACTTCCAGCTACTCCAAAAACCTTGCCAGGATAAAGTGGGACAGCCTGCAGCTGCACCACGTGTGGGGCTGGGAACCAGAGGTTCAGAGGAGCTGGACTCTGTTTGGTGCCCATTATTTATGACTGGCATGACAGCTAGTAGTTAGCAGCTGTACCAGTACATTGTGACATTTTTTTTGCCAAATGGATTAGTTGCAAGTGAGTAACGCATGGGCAGTACCTTCCAACACCCACATCTGGCATTTCTCAGGAGTGTTGCACTTCAAAGGGAACCTGGCATTTTATTTTCACTGATTGATTCCAGCTAAGGTTCATCTCAATCTTGCAATAGCCATAAAATTGTTGGCAAATCACATTGGTGCTGTCCCTGAAATATGCCAGCTGCTTCTTTCCAGCTTAGGTTTCTCCTAGCTATGGGCAGAGGTGGAATAGAAGCCAGATTTAGTCCCCGAGTGCCTTGGGGTTTGTGGCTAAATACGGTCAGGTTTTGTTTGGAGGGATTGGCATCTTTTTTCAGATTTTGTTCCTACAGTGCTCTGATTCCAGCCTTCCTATTCTACGTGTGACCTAGGAGCAAAACACTTGGGATAGTTAGAGGGGATGATCTTTGGTGTGCCTTGCCCCCACCCTTCCATCCAAAGCAGGAGAGGAGGAACCACCTGACAAACGAGCTTTGTTCCTCCTGCAGCAGCTCAGTTCACCTGGCCTCTCAGCAAAAGGGCTGTATCACTGCAGAGTTGTACTGGGCTGCGGTTGCAGATGTGCTGGGGCTTTTTCTTAGGGCAGGAGCTTGGTGCTAAGGCTGATCTCCTATGCACGGATTTTTATCCCAAGGGGTCAGTATGGTTCCCACTGGAAGTGTTAAGGGGTGTAACACTGCAAGGACATCTAAGCCTGTGCTTACCACGGTATATTTAAAACCCAATATAGCCATGTTTTCTTTTGCTACCAACTGCCAATCAGTGCTGAAAGGTCACACTTGCCATGTCAATGCCTCTTTCCAGGTCTGCTGATGTTCGCCATCACACACATCCTGTACTCTTCAGCCTTTGGCATGAAGCCTTTGGACCTCAAAGCCGGCTTGTTGATGGGCCTTGTTTGCAGTTCCTGTTACGCCTTCCTGTACTCCTACCTCTCAGGCCCATTCACCTACCTGGTAGCTGTCTACATCGCCTTGATTGGCTTCATGGGCTGGCGAGCAGTTGCTGGCATGCAGCTGTGCAACGACCTCTGGACATGGACCAAGCTCTCGGCCTGCATCGGCGCGATGCTGTTCATGGTGTCGGATCTGACCATTGCACTTAACAAGTTCTGCTTTCCTGTGCCCTACTCACGCTTCATCATCATGGCTACTTACTATGCAGCCCAAATGCTTATTGCACTGTCAGCTGTAGAAAGCAGAGATGAAGAGGACTTCAGAAAGAGGAGCTAGGTGGAGTGCCAATAGCCTGTGAACAATGTGGGTTATATCTCAGGTGCTGTAGCTGCATTCACCCCTGAGAGAGATCTCCATTTCTCTAGGCACGCTGGTGATGATGATTTTGCTTCTTTGAAGCATTACCTTTGGGGCTTTTTTTTTTTCAATGGCTTTCTCTGAATACAGCTTACTTCAGTGTGGAGTCCAGATCAGAAAGCTTAGACTGTCCCTGCAGTAGCTCATTCAACTTTTCCTCCTTGGAAGTGCTGTACTACTGCATTTTACTTGCTAGTCTTGAAACTGATGCTCAATGTCTGCGAAGAGGAGGGCTGATGGAAAGGAGGTTTGGCCATGCACTGTGCTAAAAGACTTGCTTTCAATAGTAGGCAGACAGGCACAGATCTCTGCTAAAGTCATAGGTAAAAATGTATTTAACTGACGTTAGTCTTGTGCATTACAAACTCAGTATGCAAACTGGAGCTATTGCCTCTGCTGAAAGGAAGCCTGGAGGTAGAGTAAAACCAGCATATCCAGATGAAGGCTGAGCTTTGGAGTCAACAGCAGCATGTGGGGCAGCCCCCAGCAGAACCAGAATGAAAGCAAAACACCAAGCAGAGAGCAGAGCAAGGGGTGTGCTGACATGCAGTGCTGTGTGCTTTGGTCGCTGCTCCAGGGTAGGCCTGTCTGTAGGTGCAAGTCAGCATTTCCCATGTGGCAGAACAAGGCGTTTGGTGGGATTTCAGAGGCATCCAGGGAGCCAGGCCAGTGCGTTCCCCCCTGCCACGCGTGTGCACTTACACAGTGTCTGCAGCCACCGGTGACAGCTGAGATGTAATGAGCGCATGAAGAACTTTAATTTTTACAGCAGGACTTTGAGCATTTGTCTTACTACTGTATGCTCTAATTGTTCTTAGTATGGCAGACAGGCATCCAACCTTTATGCTTTTCTTCCCCAGTATCCAAAAAACTAATATTCCATATACTCATCCAGCTTTACGGTACTGCTGCGTGAAGTATCTCTCTCAAATCTTCACGTGAGCATTTCCTGTGGTCAGGGCCCCGATGTTAGATGTAGATTGTTGTTGTGTTTTGCCAGCTGGTCATAAATGACCAGCTTTGCACCATTTGTTTTTGGAAAGCCCCTTTTCAGCAGAGCTTCCTGAAAAGCACTGTCCTATGTGTTCAAAGTGCCTGCTGCTTCCTTCTCAAACTCACATGAACGCAGTGAGAACTGCGCCATCAGGGCTAGGAAAGCCTGTTTAATTCTGATCCAAATTCTTTGGTTGGTTTGTCAGCCCATCTGCTGAAGCAAGATCACTTCTGACTTCAGACTCTCTTAAAAAGATAGAGGAAGAGGTTGCCCTGATTTTTAATCCAAGTTCATTTGTGATCATATGTATATTTTCCCCTCTTATTTAGGGTATCTAACAGTAAGCTCTGTTTCTGCTTGAAACTCTCTCGAATGTGCTTTTTCCTTCTCTGTCCTAGGGCTGTTCCCATGGGCCGAGATTCTCCCCCAATGGCTCATTGCAAGACACGAATGCACTCAGGTGTGCAAAGGAAGCTTGCTGAGGCTTCCTGCACTTAAACCTGCAGCCAAACAGGGACAACCAGAGCAGACTGCACAGCTCGAATCCATGCATGCCCCCAACAGCCCCTCGCTCATGCTCCCACAGGCAGAGGGAGCAGGAGGGACAGCCCTTCAGACCAGCTAAAGATCACCACAGTCTCCATACCTAGCATGCCCAGACCATTCCAGGCAAAAGCCTGGCATAGAGTCCCTGGCACAGTCAGCAGAGGAGGAATTCCTCCTTGTGAGGAGTGTGGCAGGGTCAGGGGGCAGCTGAGGAAACCCTACCAGCCCTGCTAGCTTTTCCCTCAGGGCTGAGAGGTGCTGAGGGTCTCCTCCTCCCCAGCCATGCGTGGTGGGACTGGGAGGGGAAGAAGTCCCACGACTTCTGCATTAGTGCAAATGCAGCCAGTATTACAAAAATCTGGGTTAACCATCCTGACCCCGTGGAGTCATCTGCTGCTTTTCAGAGATCAGAAAGGTCAGCTGCATTATTAAGAGGGAAAGCATTGTAAATAGCACAGCCCTGTGTAATCTCTTCTCTTTAATGCTGTTGTGTAATATTGTCAGTATTCATTCATTTGTGCACTAGGGCCTGCCTAGAGTAAACCGCTAAGGGGATTTAGAGCCATAAACATCTTCATTCATCAGCATTGCTTATCTCCTGGCCGCAGCCTGAACCCTGCAGTGTAGCTCTCTGCGGATGTCACCTGCTGTTACTCAGCTTGACTGTTTGCAAATCTCTTCCTGCAACAGATTGATCCAGCTAAGAGGAAATCTAAGCATTTGGGGTGAACCACTGTCCTCCAGCATGTCAGCAAACGGCATATTTCTGTCTGATTTACATCTCCTTGTCATGGGTCAGTCCAGCACTCAGTCCTTAGCTGGCAGTTCTTCAGAGGAGCCCCTCACACCCTGAGCTTCCCTTTGCTTTGAGGACAATGCATGTGTGATAAAGTAAGCTTTATTTAAGTTAGAATTTTCATTATATCTTCTTCCCCTCTAGAAATGAGTAGTCTCCAATTTCCTGAAGATGGCCAAGTTGCTTTTCTGTGTCTTTGCTTGCTTTGTTACCCCGCTCCACCATCAGCCACAGGATACTTGCAGAAAAGGATGTTTTAAGTGATACTGGAGGCCTGTCCTCTCCTCTCCACCAGCCATCAGAAGTGCTGTTTCTGGTGGCAGAGGTCTCTGAGTGGCTGTAGCTGGGACAGCAGAAACACGGGCTGTTGCTCCCTCACTGTCCCCTCACCTGAAGTGGCTGGTTGGGACACATCCTGGCCAGACACGCTGGCTCCGTCCCAGTGCTGCAGCAGCTTCAGCCTTCCCAGGAGCATGCGGCAGAGCCCTCAGCATACGAAGTCAGGGAGAGTCCTGGCTGCTTGGAGGTTCACCAGCGAAGGCGCTCAATCTTCAAAATCTCTCTCCTGCTCTGCATTCTTCCTTTTTCCAGGAAGATAAGATCATTTTCCTGGAGGCCCTTTCCTGCTGGGAAGAGACCAGCTGGTGTGGACACTGATTTGACACAATTTTGAGTTTCATAAACCCTGAGAAACACTAAGCAGTTGCTGACAGCCTGTTAAATACCTTTTTTTAGGATTAAAACTCTTCCCTCAACCCCAGCGAGGTTAATCTTCACTTTGAAAGGGAGCAAACAAGAAGTGGCAATGACGTGACTGTCTGTGGCACTACCTTTGCAGGCCTTCACGTTGTCTCTGCACTGTAAAACTCTTAAGGTTTGATCCATTCTTCTCCTTTTCAGGCATACAGTCTTTGAGAAACACCCAGTCTTCAGCCCAGGGACGTTACAGAGGGAATGAAGCACTCCAGTGGTGTGCCTGGCCCCAGCAGTATCAGTGCCTTTGCTTGCAAAGTACAGAGGCTTTCTTTTCACACTGCTGTGTTCAAACACAATTCTTGTCTATGGTCACTTGAGGTTACACACATGGTCCAATTACTTTTGTTCTCTTTCCTTTCTGTAGTTATCACCCTCCTGGAAATCCTTTGGATCCTTATTTGGGCATACAAAAGAAGTAGCACGTTTATTTCAGCCTTGTATCTCTTTCTGTATATAGATCCTTCTCATGCAGAACTCCTGATGAAGTCTAAAAAGCAATCCTAATTGCAGCTGGTTCTTAAATGCTAGTAATGCTTCTGAGCTGTGCCAGTCACACTGATGTCAGCAAGGCAAAGCTGGTGTAGAAACTGTGGGTTGAGAAGACCAAAGCCAGAGGATTTTAACACCTTTTCTCCTCCTCTACCAAGAAAATTGCATTTGTGCTTAATACCTGGCTCCTTACTCCTCCATATTTAGGCAACTCTAAGACTGATTGGTTAAAGACTCTAACATAACTTTTAAGTAGATTGCTGAAGGTTTCATGTTGTAATCAGTGGAGGTAATTGATATATTTTTATGCAAGTATATAAAATTCCCAGGACCAATTTTGCAGAATTTTTAGTGGCTCTTCAAAGTTTTCCAGTCCTGTAGTTTGACATAATGCCTGTCTGTTTTCAGCTTATTATCATGGTAATTTTGAGAGGTGTTCTGGAAGCAGCAGATCAAAGCAAACAGCAACTGTGAAGCTCAGTGGCAGGTGTCTCTCTTTGCTTGGTTTCTGGATACAGGCAGGGGCTCTTTTAAGCAGAGGCATTATAAAACTACATTCCTGGAAGAGGATGGGAAGTTGCTGACTTATGACAGAAGTCCTCCTGGGCACTTCTCCTGCCTTTTATCCACGCTTGCTCCTTTTGTGGCCTTGGGTAAGTCGCTTAAATTTTCTGGGGCCAGGTCCTCATCTGGTGTGGAAAGGCACAAGTATATGAGGGCCAGTGAGTGCAGTTACAACAGCACGGGGCCAGGCCCTCACCCCATTTCTAAAATGGGGATATTAGCACTTACCTACCTCACAAGGATGCTGTGAGGATTAGTGCTCATACAGTGCTTTCAAGATGTAAAGTGCTACATAAGTCCCAAGTATTATCCTAACATAGTGTTAAAAATGCTTTTAGGGATCTGCAGGACTTCTCTTAAAGCATGGAATGTGTGACTGCCTTTTCAGTTTGCATCAGATGGAAAGTAAATGCAAAATATTTATTCATACTGGTTAACAGGATGGGCTCAGCTGCACTTGAATTCTGAGTAGGGTTTAGCTTAAAAGTCTGAACTCTAATTTCAGTTTTGCAAATGGTTTTTAGTTCTTCTAAAAGTCTCAACCAAATTCTTAGACATGAACCGTGCATCCGGATTTTGCAGTCTGGTCATCCCTGACTGTTAGCTAGAATAAACCCAATCCAGCCAAAACACAGTGCTCTCACAGTCTGCTCTGGCTATTGAAAAGGCTGGAACAGAAAATGAAGTCATTCTGTTCAACCTTCATTCTGCAGAAGGTCAGCTAGGTTTCATGGGACAACTTGCAAAGGGATGTCTAAATTCTATGATTTTAAGTTAGTTTACTGGCTTTAAAATCGGCAGAGAGGGAAGGCCTAGATGGAATCAATAACGTTGGCACATCCTTCTTGAATTACTTCCTTTTCACCTGAATCAAAGAAACAGCAGGTTCTGGAGCAAAGTTGGTGCTTGTACCACCAGTCCTAGCGCCCAGAACAAAAGCTGATCTAGAAATACAGCTCTAAACCATCACCGTGTTCTCAACTAGTATAAAAATGACACTGTTCGCTGATTTCAAATCTGGACCACAGCTAGAAACTACTTATTTCTGGTAGAACTAGCTGCTGTACAAACACAAATGAAGGCAGGGAATTACACAACAAGGAATGTGCGCTGCGGACATGTGAAATGGACCATAATTTTGAAGCAGCTGCAGTAAAATCTTATCTTAATATGAACTCAGAAGCAAACACAATGCAAATTTTTATGGTTTCTTTAAAATGTTTGATGGGTTTTAGTTTTCTTAGTTCAGAGGAAATTTTCTTAATATTATTTTATTTTTGCTCTTATTGTGAAGAATAAAAATGTACAATTCTAGATAGACTACAAATGAAAAAAGGTGGCCAGTTGGCAGGACTGCCAAAACTCCTGTGGTTTGTACTGTTTCTGTGGTGACACGATGCTGCTGTAGGATGAGCTACTGGAGCGGTGTGACGGCTCAACAGTGAGGCTGAAGCACAAGGCCAGTCTCATGTAAGAGGGATGCAGGGGCTGAGCCACTGAGACTGCAGTGGGAGCACGACTGGGCCAATTCGCATCAGTCAAAAAACAGATAATCAGGAAATAAAAAAACCTTTTTCCTGACTGGTAAAAAGCAAGAAACCAAAGCCAGCCTGTTGGGTGATGGTGCTGAATCAGTAGACATCTAGACCTTGCTTATGCAGGCTCCTGCTGGACCAGGCCTTGCTCCTAATTCACCTGGGGAGGCTTGCTCCAAGCCTACCGTGCTGGCAGGGTCAGGTCAGCAGAACCTGCTGCTTTGTTAAATAAAACTGCAAAACAAACAAAAACCCCATCCAGACATGGAAGGCAAAGCGGTAGCTCTGCCTGGCTGAGACCACAGCCTGGCTGCTCTGTCCTGAACACTAATCTCCATGTCTTGTACCCGCGTGAGCCTCTCGCTCCAGCCCCTCTCCCACGCGTTCCAGGCAGAGTGCACTGAAAGATGTGGCTGAGGCAGCTGCTCTCCCCCGGGGAGCCAAGCGTTTTGCCATGTCTGAAAGTCTCTAGCACTTAATACTTCCTCTACCATGATTGTAAAGGTCACCACATGCAGTACGGCCACTTGATCTGGGATCTTTTCTTAACACATTTTAATGCTGATTTTACTATTTTAGTTCTTCGTTTGGAATGTATTTTTTCCTCATTTCTTCTGTGTGTAACAGCAATTAAAAATATTAATTTACTGGGTATTTTTACTGTGCAGATACAATGTCTTCTTGCTCGTTTTCTGTTCCTGTGACAGTTTCAGTGTGAAGCATGTAGCCCGCTGACCCTCTGTGTCAGACAGTTTTGTGCCACTGTTATGCCCATCAGTCATGCAGCTCTGCCCTGGAGCTACCCAGTACCACTGTCACAGCTGGCTACAGTATTCCTGTCTGGGGAACCCTGAAACACAGCCCCGTGCTCCCCACAATGCTCATCCAAAACAAAACAACCAGGCACCACTGTGACGATGGCACCTGGCTCGTGGTACAACACATCCTGGGATGTGGAGCCCTGAAGCATGCTTGCCCCTTGCTGCTACAGCCAGTCCCACATACAATGGCCATTTGTCCACCCTTCCAGGGAGAAGGCAGTTTGCTGCAAAGGATTGCCCTGGGAAGACTGCTCGCTGCCCAGAAATCCCAGACAAATGGCCAAGTCTCTCTTTGCCCCCACCCCAGCAAAGTTTCCAGGAAATAAAAGTAAGATAGTATGGACATTTTTCTCTGGTTGGGTATCTAATGCCCGTTTGTTCAGCTGTTTGATGCAATGGCACAGATACTTGGTTTCATTAATCCTGAACCAGGCCATCTGTCACCCGTGGAACAGGTTTCAAGGATTTATAGCACAGAAACACAGTGTGTGCAACTGCTCCCAGTCCATTAAATGGATCTACTCACAGGCTTAACAGAGACTCCTTCATATGTCTCTTCTGAAGTAGAGTGGTTCCTGATGTGAGAAAAAAAATCAGTACCAGGCAGAAATACTACCAAAGAAGCCTAAAGGGGTTAACGGCAGGCAAAATTGGGTGTTCCTTTCCTTTTTCTTTAATTTGGTCTTTTTACAATTCCTTTCAAAAACTAAGAGGCCTGCTGGGAGGAGCATCCTGTTTCCTCATACCTCCTTCCTAGCTCCAGATGGAACAAAGGTGGCAAAATACTCTCAGAGTGAGTGTGTCTCTGTGGCAGGTCCCTGCTATGCTTCCATGCCACAACTGGCTCCTGGAAGAATTCACTCTAAATGAAAAGAACCAGCACCAATGTACATGTATGCATATTTATCTATCTGTCAATCTGTTGGTCCTTCAACGGTTCAGATATTCTGCAATTCCTTATCTAGTCTTGTTCATCAGCAGTGAAGTTCCTGGACCTTCCTGGATCTCGTTTTAGCTTCTACAGTCAGCTTTTTCACAAAGTGACTCCCTCATTTGCAAAGCTGCAGACTCTATTAATTTTCTTGGTATTGGAAGGATTTAAGTACTTCACATTTATGGCTGACCGTGTTAATATACAATCTGACATAATGAAGCCTAGATCATTATGGAGGTCCTGCTGGGCTATATGGGGACATGGAGACAGAACCCAAGTTTCCTCTTGAACTCAGAAGCAGAATTCTCATTAACCAGTGTGGAAGCAACCTGATATATAGAACTGCAATCTTTGGCTCCTTTTATTACCATTAAGATACATTAGCAGATGGTATTAGAAATATAACCTTTAACATGAACCTGGCTGTCTGAAACCACTTAGAAGGAAGGAAGATTGAAACACCAGAAGTGTCCCTGCTGAGCAGAAGCCCCACTTGCCCGCCTGGTTTAACCGACCATTACAGAAGCCAAGGGCAGTTGCATTTTGAGCCACACAACCACAGACAAACTACAGAGCCACAGCAATGCTGTTCTGCATGCTGGACCAGGCACAGCTAGTGCCACTAATTATATCTTGCATTTTGACTTTTGCAAACTTCCTGTCACTGTGTCCAGGAGGCTTTTATTATCTTTTTCTTAAGAAAGATGATAAAGTGCCATAATTACTGCAACCAAACCTGTGTTTTGAGTGCAAGTGTCACAAAGTTCTGGTTAAAAAACTTTATACAGCTTTATAAAGCTTTCCACTGTATAAAGGAAAAAGCTGTCTGGTCACAGTTTTTGAAGAAAGTAAACAGTTCAAATTTAGGGAGTTCTCATTTTCATTCTCATTTCCCCTTGTTCAGTTCATCACTGTTCTGAATAATTCACTTTGGGTCTAACAGGCTTTGTGTTCTCTGCAACCTGCACCCTCCCAGCCTGAGGAAAATTATATTCAACCCTTCTGAGCTACAGCAGGAAAGATGCTGCTGTGTGTCATACAGGTGGAGGAATGCCCTATTTGTTTTTGCAAATATTAAGAAAAAGGCTAAAACTGAAAACATGGCTAAGCAGAAGAATGCAAGTGTCCTTCCTTAAAGGAGACAGAAGAGCATTCATGTATTGGGTTTGCATGGTGAGGTTTTGGTATTGGGGGGGCTGCAGGGGGGGCTTCTGTGAGAGGCTGCTGGGAGCTTCCCCCATGTCCGATGGAGCCAAGGCCAGCTGGCTCTGGGATGGACCCAACGCTGGCCAAGGCTGAGCCCATCAGTGATGGTGTCTCTGGGATAACGTATTTAAGAAGGGGAAAAAAAAACGGTGAAACTGCAGCCAGAGAGAGGAGTGAGACTGTGTGAGAGCCACAGCCCTGCAGACACCCAGGTCAGTGAAGGAGGGGGAGGAGGTGCCCAGGCCCGGAGCAGAGGTTCCCCTGCAGCCCCTGGTGCAGCCCCTGGGGAGTCAGGCTGTGCCCTGCACCCAGGGAGCCCCACGGGGGAGCAGAGACCCACCTGCAGCCCGGGGAGGGCCCCAGGCCGGAGCAGGGGATGCCCGAGGGAGGCTGTGACCCCGTGGGAAGCCCACGCTGGAGCGGGCTCCTGGCAGGAGCTGTGTCCCCGTGGAGAGAGGAGCCCACGCTGGAGCAGGTTTGCTGGCAGCACTTGTGACCCCAGGGGGGACCCACGCTGGAGCAGTTTGTGAAGAGCTGCAGCCCTGTGGGAAGGACTCACGCTGTAGAAGTTCGTGGAGGACTGTCTGCTGTGGGAGGGACCCCACGCTGGATCAGGGGAAGAGTGTGAGGAGCCTCCCCTGAGGAGGAAGCAGCAGCAGAGACAACGGGTGATGAGCTGACCACAACCCTCATCCCCTGCCACCCTGTGCAGTTAAGAGGAAGGAAGTTGAGAAAATTGGGAGTGAAGTTAAGCCCAGGAAGAAGGGAGGGGTGGGAGGAAAGTGTTTTAAGATCTAGGTTTTCTTTCTCATTACCCTACTCTGATTTCATTGGTAATAAATTAAACTAATTTCCCCAAGTCGAGTCTGTTTTGCCCGTGACGGTAATTGGTGAGTGATCTCTCCCTGTCTTTATCTCGACCCACGAGACTTTTATTATATTTTTTCTCCCCTGTCCAGCTGAGGAGTGATAGAGCAGCTTTGGTGGGCACTGGGCATCCAGCCAGGGCCAGCCCACCACATTATATTTAAAGGAGTGGAGACGGGTATTTGAGAACAGGTTTAGGTCCCATGGAATCAGCATAGAAATCAGCAGCTGAGACTCCTGCACAGCTATTCAAATCAGATTTGCTCATCCCTTAGATCACTCCTTACTCCTTTCCCTTAGGACAGACAGCCTGTCACCAGGTGAAGGCCACTGTGAGTCTCTAAAAAAAAATCCCTGCAGAAAGTCTTCCAAGTCCTGGTCTGAAGAAGCTCCTGGCCTTTGTAAAAGAGGAGTGCTTTTACATGAGGTACGATGTCCTCTAGCTTACAGTACCTGACTCCAGGCAGTAACTACCCCTCTTCCAGAACTAAAATCAGTAAGAATATAGCTCCTGAGATTTAAAATAAACTTGCATTTAAGCTCAGTTTGAAGTGAATTCCCTATCTCCTGAAGTCAGTTTTACAGCCTCTGACTTCTGCTTTCCCACCCCCCCAATAGTCATGGTAAGGATGAGCCTCAGCAGGCCTCAGATATAGGCTCTCATTAAGGAATCTGAATGTTAATGAGCACTTCATACATGCAATGGTTTCACAAGCCTTGTTCCTTAGCCAGCTCTGCTTGTGAACAGGCTGCTTTGAATAACTTTGAAGAGGTTATGTTCCTATTGTAGCAGTCTTTACCACAACAAGCTGTGTGGGAAGGCAGCAGGCAAGTGCCACCCAGCGATCAGATCTCTGAGGGGATAGAAATCTGTTCTTGTGCCCCTCAGGCCTGGGCCTGCCTGCCCTCCCCAGCCTAGGTGAGCTGTGATGCCAGGGTTCCTCTTGCATCAGCCTGGCTGGCAGTGACGACAGCCCAGGGAAAGCTCCCACTGATTTTAGGGAATAGGAAACTGTCCTCCAGCTATGGCTTGAAACTGTAGCTTCAGGGAGCGTGGGAAGTGGGAGACCCAATAACACAAGGAATTTTAAAAAAATGGTGAAGAATTGCTTTCAGTCCTTTAGGCAGGCAGTGGCTGCTTCAGTGAGAGAAGTGTTGCATGTATCATAGACTCAAACACAAATGAGCTTCCCTGAAAACCAGAACAGCAAACCCAGCGTGCACATCCTCTCCCTACACTGACCCACAGTGAGCTACTTCTGCATTAGGAGAGAACACAAACCCTGGGGGGTGGGGGGGCTCAGCAGTTGTCAGCAGGCTGTCCGGAAGCTGATCACAGACAAAAATAACCTTAAAAGATCTTTCCAAATATAGCTCCTCATTATTGGTGCTATATCAGTTTCAAGTTGTGCCTGTTCCCTTTAAAAGAACACCAACAGGTCCTGAGGCACCACGGCCTTTATCTAGAAGGGGACAATGGAGGAAACGTACTTTAAGGTCATGACAGCCAAAAGGATGAAGAATTCTTGCTGTCAAATATTGAACCTTGAAGGGTCCCTAGTTAATCAATCATAAGCAGGGTGAGCTTACCAGGGCATGGTGAAACACTCAGGACACAGCTCTTTCAAGGCACTGCTATATGTATTTCAAGACCACTCTGCAACTTGCTTTCAGCATGGAGAAAAAATGGGGAGAGAGGGATCTGAAATGTCTGATTTTCTTCCTTTTCATGTCTTGAAATTTTTTAGTAGCTTTCATACAATGCTGGCAAAATCCTGCCATTTCATAAAGGAAGAGTTACCGAGTGTAGTGTCTGTGGTATCAGCAAAAAAAAGCACAAAGCTGT